TCCCATATATTCTTGAATTTATAGTTTTCACTAGAGGATAGCCAACCCATCAGGGGCTTCACTTTTAAAGAAAACTTACTCTTTATCCCACTGTTTCTCAGTTGCCAAAGGCCACTTAAGCAGGGGTGGGACTTGGTGTCCGCTTCCCCACACCAGTTTGGAATTAAGTCTTGTACTTTTGAACTTGTGCAGGTCTGTGTATGCAGTTTCCACTGCTGTGAATTCATGTGTGCAGCTGTCCAGAGACACAGCTGTGCACATGTGCTTGTGTCCAGAGAAAAACCCATTTCCTTTAGTCAACCACCGCCTCTAGCTCTTACACTCTTTCTTTTTCCTCTTCCACGATTGCCCCTAAGGATTCAGGGAAGTTGTTTACTATAGATATTAAGTTTAGGGTTGAGTATTCCGGAGTCTTTTACTCTGTGTACCTTGACCAGTTCCTGTGTTAATTTTCTATACGGCACAAAGCAGCTTTTCCAATGACGGTTGACAGATACACCCATCTTTGGGAACTAGTAATAAAACCTTACATCATTTTAGTGTTATGTCCATTTAACAGAGTAATCACTGTAAGTTCTCCCGCTAGGGTGCATAGGCTGTGTAAACAGTTTCTTCATCCTGATAAGGGTTCCAGGTCTGGGTTACAACCTATGGAGTGGGCCCTAACTCTCGCAAGAAAATGGTTGGTTACTCTCATGATGTTCATGCCACTTTTGTACATCACTGGACATGTCTTGCAAGGCCAGCCATTGCTGTAAAATTCACACCTGATTATGGTTAGTGATTCTGCTTTTCCTCTGAGAATATCCACAACATCTTTCAGTGTTCTGAAGGCTATCCCATGGTTCTAAAGTTTCCAGTTCCGTGCCAGCTCGATTTCTTCATGTGTGTGGTATCTTCAGCAATAAGGTCTGACAGTCAAGCTCTAGAGAGTAACCAAGAACATTGGCAATAACCTGTTCGGAGGGTCTTTAGGGACTTCTTGCCAACAACTCCATAAAAGGTAACCCATTCCTGGCACTATGTTTTGTGTTTGCTATCCCCTAGTGTCTAGTAGAAGCATTGTTGCCTTATGATAGGATAATTCCAGTTAAAATCTTTTTCTAACTGTATATATTTTCTAACTGTATATTTTTAAAGATTCAATATATATATAATAGTAGGTTTCCATATGATTTTTTTGGAATGTCTTTGGTATTAATTGTTTCCTATATATTTTCCTATAAAATAAATGCAGAATAAGAAAAGGATAATCTGTCAAAGATTTAATTTTTAACATACTTCTATTAGTCAGTTAACTTGGAACATCACATTTACTTTTATTTATTATTTTCTGTTTCCTTAAGGGATTTGATGTGCCATAGGGAATGATGTCCTTCAAATACATGAACTTTAATTATCTTATAAGGACTTACATGAAAGTCACAAAATGTCTTATTTAAAGAAAGACAATTCTGTTGACCAACTATCAAACAAACATACCTTGACACACACCATGTGCCCTGTATTCAAGATACCATTCTATATGGGTGAGATAACCTAGCTGACCATGGCCTTCATCGTTTACTTAAACCAGAATGACCCTGATCCACTAGATCTGGGTACCTATGGGAAATATGTGATGACCTTCTGAAGCTTACCTCTCTCCTTCCTAGTTTTTGAGAAATCAGTAGGAAACACTGGCATATTCATGTTAAAAACAAAGTGAATAAGTAAATAACTGAGCAAATGAGGGGACAATCCCAAAAGAAAGCAACAATTTGATGTTCACACAGTAAAGGGAAAGGGTAAAGGACAGGGCAGTCCTTGAAGGGTGAAGTACTATGGGTCCTTCCGGAAGTTGTTCCCCCCCAAAAAATATGTTTGTATTCAGAGAACAAACACTTGAAAGTGATCCTGTAGCAAGTAGAAGAAGGTTGTCAGAACATGGGAAGCAAAGGGCCCTCAGATTTACTGCTGCTGTGAGGCTGTGGGAGCCTTTCAAATGCAGAAGGGAGAATAATAGGGAAATAATACAAACACATATTAGAATAGACATCAGAGAGCCAGAGAATGCAGGCGGGTGTATAAACATTGGGGAAACAACAACTGTAAGTCTGGTTAGCAAGCAAGAATGAACTAATTGGTCAAGGGCTTACATTGATACCTTTGTACTGAAAGCTATATTTATAAAGTGCTACATCGTAGGCAAAAGAACTGAACAGGTCTGGTTTTTTAAAGTAACCATTTCTACAGATCAGAGAAAACAATGAAAGATCAAAGGTAAGAAAATACTGCAGCAGACCAAGTAACAGATGCTGCAGGCCCAAGCTAGCAGTGGGAACAGAGACAGACTCCAAAGATTTCTGAGGTGGCAGGTTTTCCTGAAACATATTGGAAGGATTCTTGACAGTTCCAAAAATTCTATTTCTTCTGTGTCTTCAAAAATATAAGATAGAAAGTTCAACAAAGTTTGTCTCTAACCACTGGTTTTCAGAGCTTACTATAGTCTTGCTACAGAAAATGGGGCCAAGGGACCAATGACAATCTCATCAGCTGGGAGCTTGTTCATAGGAAAGACTGGATTCCCAAGACTCAACCCAAACTCATTGAGCAGAGACAGCATTTCTTTACAAACCATTATTTTATGACTTGTTTATGTGTGTTGCGTATGTCTGTGGGTACCCTAGAAAACCAGACAGGACATCACATCCCCTGAAAATGAATTTTCAGGTAGTTGTGAGTTACCCGAAGTGGGTGCCATGAACTGATCTCTAGTCTACTGGAAAAGCCACAGACTCAGTAATTACCAGCCCCAGGAGATTGCATTTTAATAGGTAAGATATAGACATAGTAAAATTTGATAACTACTTTACCACATTGCACAAAACTAACTCCCTAAATCAGTTTGTAATAGGCTGGAGTCAGAGCACTTTGGAGCCCTGTCTAATCTAGACTGCAAAGGGCTGTTGAGTAGGCCATTTCATGACAATGTGTGGTTTAAAATGGTAAATATTTATTTTTGTCTCATCACTTCCTTCTAATTTGTGATCTCACATGAATTTCGACAGAGTCAAGAGCTACTCTTCCTGTACACATTTGCCTGCACTGCAGCCATCACTACATCCTGGACATTGAAATGGCAGGACAAAGGACAGCAGCAATACACACAAAAGCGATTCTAAAATTAAACTCAATTCATCACAAAAAAACAAATAATAAACCGTTCCTATCAGCAAGTCCGTGAGACAGTCCACTGATTTCCTGGAATTCCACTAATTCCATCTGCAGAATAGATCTGAAATTCTGTTTATCCCTCATCTTCCACACAAGTCCTGTTCAGAGAATGTTGGTTTCCATGCGCATCCTCTGGAAGTTAACCCACTTCTCCAAGGGCAAGAATAATGATATTTGATTCTGTAGGTTACTTAATTTTTGTGTTATTCTTGAGTACTGTAATTCACTTCCCATCAACCTTTCAGGTTAGATATCTTAATCTGGATGACTCACAGCTCAGCTGCTGTATTACTACCTAGAGCTAGCTTATTAGCATTTCAGTGATGCCTGCCAAAACAACCAAGGCTCAAGAAGCTATACTTAAGTTAAGTTGTTTGGAAAAGGTGCAAGGAAAACAAAAATAGACTCACATTTGAGTTCCCATAAACAGAGCGAACAAACTTAGAATGAGGCCTGTTTAAACCTTCTAGTAGCGAATGACTTCATCTCTAGGAAAAACCGATGGTGATTATTTCGGAGATAAAACATCACCTCGTGTAGTTCTATTTCACTTGTATTTTAATAAGTAAAGCCAACCTGAAGGTCAGAAAAGCAAAACAGCCAGCCACTGGCTCTCACATCTATCTCAGTTTGAAATGGCGATCCTGCCATTTCTGAGATTAGGAATCTCAGAATGAGACTGTGTGTGAGAGCTGCCCCCTCCTGTCTTATATTCCTCTCTAGTGCTGGAATTAAAAACAAGCACCACTACCTCCCAATTTCTACGGCAAACTAGTGTGGATACTGGGATTAAAGGTGTATGTCACCACTGCCTGGTCTGTAAGGCCGACCAGTGGGGGTGGTTTGCTCTCAGAACTTCAGGCAAGCTTTATTTATTAAAATACAAATGAACTATCACTGAAACCTGGTGTGGGTAAATCTAGGAATTAAAGAACAAAATAGACAAATAGTCACTTAAAATGTCATTGCACAGTGAGAAGACAGGCTGTAATGTCTGGATATCTTCACTTATTTAGCTTCATACTTCAGGGCAGCTTACACAGGAATATTTAACGTTGGTTTTTTTTTTCAAGTAAGTGACTAAATTTGTTGTTGCTATCCCGTGCCTTATTTTTAAATTGAGCGTAGCCGATTTCCATGGAAAGATTTGGCTGAGAACCTAAAGAATTTTGTTTAACTCATTTTCACTGGGCAAAATCCAGTATTTAGTCAAGAAGCATTAGATAGTAATCACACAGGAGTGGAAACATTAGACATTTCTTTACCTTCCATAATGGTAGGTTATTAAGGTATTTTAAGAAATGAACTCGTATAATAATCTTTTTTATTGTAAAGTCAATAAAATTTTTATTTAAATTATTTATTTGAAGGGTTCATTTGCTATTCTGTCCAGGTCACGGGGGTTCAAGATTTCTGAAAATAGCCCTTTCTCGGAGAAAGATGTTTACTACAATGGTGCTATCAGCCGTTTGTTCTCCTATCTCTCCTTGAGTTATAGAAACACAGTTATGACATCTTTAAAGTTCTCTGCCAGAGGATTTCTGGAAATTTCTTCAAACAATTTATTTTGGGAACCACTTTATGATAGGCCTTTCACCTGATGACACCCCATGTCTCTGTAGAGTCCTCCTCATGTCCAACCATAACGCATTCAGAATCCTAACCTGTACGTGGGAAGTGCCAGTGCTCCACTGGAACATACACTGACAGGTATGTTTAGTTCCAACCTCATTTTCAAGACAAGCTTCATTATCAACACCATCATCTTTTGGGCTGCCTTGTGTTTTGTTCTTGTTTATCTCAAAACTCATACTGAACAATGAGTTCTGGGTTGCAAAAGAGGATTTATTTGTGTGCCTCTCTAGTCTGTCTTTATCCCCTAGTGGAACAAACACACCCACGAATTCTTGTGATGTTACCAAAGTCATCATTTGCATATGTTTTCCAAGAAGCTCATAAACTGCCACTGGGGGAGCATGGTAGAGTCCTGGCGTGGCTGTGTTCTGCTGGGGTTGTAGGTAACTTTGTGAAATGAAAAGAAAGTGTTCTCTCCCCAAACCTTTTTCCAAGTTGACCTCTCCAGCTACAATAGTTTTCATGGCTTAACAGTTTCTGGTTAAATTTTTGAAAACAATAAGCAGATAATTACTCATTTATTGAACTCAACCTTTTTAGAATATTAAAGCACCAATGCGCTGTTTATACTGCAGTTAGCAATAGTAATTTGTGACAATCTAAGGCAAATCCATTCAGAGGAAATATTAAACCAAATCACTTCCCTAAATCATTGTTGCTTTCCTCCTTCCTTGTCTTGTGACTGCTTCTCATCTTTGACTTTGAAACCCATCAGTTTAAACTTGGTTCTTATTCCAGTGAGCTAATCCCCTTTCATAAATCATGCTCAAGCGCCGAGGTAATTTGCACATCGTTTAAAGAGTATTTGCTTTGAAATCTTCACCTCAAGCCCTTTTGTATATCCTTTCTCTCTAAAGATTTGTAGTATTTGTTTTGTTCTCTGAGGTATAAAAGACCTGGATAAACTTTATTCCTGTTGTTTCAAGATTAGTTAACTAAAATGCATATTAATTCAGCAGGGATGGGAATAAATCTCAGTAAAGATGATCACGCATGAGCCCCTGGGAATAGCAAAGTACAAAACCGTCAGTCTTCAAATCTCCTTGGACTTCCTCAAAGGAGTACTGGGGGATTTAAATTTCTAGAATATGTCTACAAATGTAATTTCTTTGTTTTGAAGAACAGGAGCTCTACCGATTATTTCTCCCTAGAAAATTGATTCTAATTTATATTTGAACAAAAATTAAGCTGTCTACAAAGTAGTTCTTCAAGAAGACAGAGAGAAAGTATGACGGGAAAGATAATTCCATACTAAACATTATATACCTGATATGCTACTGATCTTATTTGTTTATTTATTGCTTGTTTGTTGGTTTATTTATTTTCTTTTTTCAAATCCAAAAATGAAGCTCAGCAGCAGGGCACCCATTTCTTTTCCTCTACCATCAGGTGAAATTAGACAAGATTTTACAAAATCAAATGTAGACACATGTAGGTACAGTTCAATGTTATTTTCACATTTATAAACTCATATGTTACCATTTTATCAAATAATACTGATTTCTATGGCACCAGTACTTGTGAGAATATTAAGATTTTCCCCTTATTCTTTCTTCAACTGAAAACTTCTAGCACTTATGTGCTTATCTGGAAATGACCAAGTTGCGTAGAATGTAATAAATCACTCTTATGGAGTCACAGCCACCGACAGTCTTGTTCCACTTCCTTTCTTTACAAGTGCAGGAATAGATGGTTCCCCAATCCTCAGGGTGCCAAACTTTGCACCATTAGGAAAATCTGCAAGTAGCTTGATTTATCTTCCTCACTCAGTTAGCTAAGACCCAACTAAGTAAAACTCAGCAGGAATGAACTCGACTTGTTAAACTTTTTTAAATTGGAAGATGCAACAATTACAACTTTCCTTCTTCGCTCCTTGAGTTTCCATTGGAAGTGAAGCCCCCAGTGAAAAATATTTAGATGAGATCCCGAATTATAGGCGCATGGCTGATGATGCTGACTCTTGAGTTTTCATTATACGCAGAGGGTTGTCTGCTGTTTGCAATTAATCCGGGCACAATCCTCTTGGTACTTTGGGAGGAATGTGGAAGGCAGAGCCATTTTATAAGTTGTAAACTCCTAAATTACCCTAAATTAGAGACACTATTAATCGGACACTTAAAGATAGGATCTGCCTATTGTGTAGGCTCATCTTCCCCTGATGGAGAAATCAATTAAATATTTAGGATGTAGAATACCTTCCAGGTTGGATAATGCATTTCATTTAAATTATGGTCCTCCTATCCAAAACATTCAAGGGGATCTTAACGGATGGAAGCACATTACTGTCTCTTGGAGTGGGCACATTAACACTTTAAAAATGAATGTGCTTCCCACGATTTCCTATTTGTTCCACCAGCTGCCTGTTGATGTGCCAAATAAACAGTTTAAAGATAAGTATGTAAAAGATGCATGTGTAACGTGCTGTGTGATGAGGTGCACCCTTATAGGAATAGTCTACAATGATGTCCCTGTCAGATTTGCTTTTCTCAGTGCCTCAGCAACTCTAAATGAGAGAGGTCATTTGATCATGGGCCAGATGGAGAGAAATACACAAGTGAGATAATTTAAACTCTCACAATGTTTTTATTTATAATTACTCTTATAATTCTAATTGTTTATCATGTCTTCTAATAATTTATTGCAGTAAATAAGTAATAAATGTAATAAGTGATTGCTGTCAGAAAATTCTGGGACAATAAGATAGAAGCTGCGACAAGCTTAAGCATTTTCATTGAATAACTGGTGACATGAATAGAATCTTGATTCTCTTTCATGGGTTACTACTATGTCTCATTGTGAACAGTACTGTAAGAACAAAATGATCATGTCCTCCACAGCAAAGAAACGCTGTATAGAAATAGTTTGAAATGCTTACTAGCTCTAGGTGATAAACCAAGTATAAAAGAGCCCTCTCTTTTAATCCTCTCAAGTATTATATGAGGTATGATTACTACCTCCCTTTTATTTATTAGGTATCACCAACACACTGAAGCGTCATTAGTGCACACAAAGTTACACCAAGGAATCAAGAATGATTTTGAAACCAAGCCATTCAACTTCACATCCTAGGGCTACCACCTTGTTCCATGGTACTCCTGACAAGTGGGTGAGGCTGAAGTGCACAGTTTACCGCACATCCCAGCTTTAACTAACTCTCAATCTCACTTAGACTCTCTTTTGTAGTTTTCTAAAACTACAAAATAATAGTGCCTACCTCACAGCGTTTTTAGAAGCACAAATTAGCTTACATAATTTATAGGAGGGTGTGATGTAATAAATGTTATTAATAGCATTAACAAGTATTACAAGTATGATACATTCTCCTATATTATTTTGAAAAATATTCATAATTCAGTTAAGAAAATGCTACCATAATGATAAATGATTAAAATCTCCACAAATTACCATACTTTCAAAAATGACTTTGGGATTTTGGAGGCAAAGTTTATTGAGTGCCTTACTAAAGGCTAAACTTCTTGATATATGTTATATATATACCTGCATTCATTTTCCATCTACAAAGTCTTGATTCCCAACTCATGACATATTTTACATAAATAAATCATGTTAGTATACTAAGTTAAAACAAATTTAGCCAATCAGAAAGAAAGACAGTGAAGACAGGGATCATATTCTTTGTTCTAGGGCAAAGCTCTTCAAGACAAATCTGATAGAATAGATTCTTCTTTGCAGGAGCCATGTTTCATGAGAGAGCAGAAAACCTGGCTTACTAGCATAATTATGTAACTTGGATTACCATATTTTGGGTGTGAGGCTTCAGAAATAAAATATAGAGTAACTCAGTTCAATGAAACTGCGGGAATTTAACCGAAAGGGAATTGTTTATTAGCATTTTGATGAGAGGTAAATAAGGAAAGGGAAGCAAATTGATCTTTTCAAAGTAAGGTGGAAAGAATGCTCAGTAGGCTTCCTATGTAATCACTGTCATTGGAAGCTCAAGGACTCTTATTTGCTAGTAATTGATACCTACTCTTCAGTCTGAAGTGTAGAAGACAACTGGTGCTTTTAGTGATTGTCAAGAAGGGAGCTAGTCTTTGGTTTTTCACAGCTGAGCTAAGTGCATAGTAAATCAGGGTAGAATCACACACAGATGCCATTACTTTGTAATATTTGGAAAGCTATGCAGATAATAACATATGAATCCAATATTTAAATCAACCATCAATGTGAATTACTTGACAAGGAAGGGTCTCTGACTAGCATTTTGCTAGTGTCTACTTAGTGTTGCTGTGGACACGTTTTGAAGGCTAATTACTTGGTATTGGATAACCGATTAAGGGGGTCATCTTTGGAGAAGACTGATACTCCCTCTCTCCGTAGTCATTAATTGCCACTCTTCATATAGGTATAGACCCATGCGATTTCTCTTACTCACATTGGCATGTCTACTGCTGCTGTCATTGTTTAGCAACCTTATTGTTGAGATTTTTCTTGGTACAGCTTCCCTGTGCTATACAGAGGACACAATCTTGCAGAGTTCCTGGGTCTCTGATTCTTAAAATTATTCACCTTCCTCTTCCATGACGTTTGGTGCACCCTGAGCCTTCAAGGCACTGTCGTATGTAGGTACATAAATTTGATATTGGTACCCCACGGTCAGTTGGTCTCAGCATTGTTACTGAAGACCCTATGCACTCCAGATACAATCTGGGTCTGCCTTTCACAAGTCACCTTCCTGAGAACTAGCTTGCATGATGGAAGATGTGAAAGCTGTCGAAGGAGAGAAGCAATCAATAGTCCACCGCAGCAATGACACCTATAAGCCACAACAATGACCAGCATGGCAAGACGATCCCCAAAAGTGCAATAGTGGCACCCGTATCCTGGTGATAAGCAACAGCTGTCTCCCTAGACTTTGGGTGCACTCAACAGGATGAAATTCTTTATTATTATTATTGTTGTTGTTGTTGTTATGTTTATGTTTATTGAGCTCTACATTTTTCTGTGCTCCCCTCCCTACCTCTCCCCAGGATAGAATTCTTGACTGCAGTAGAAGCCTAGATAACTACAGTGCTAGTTAGGATAGGATCTAGAGACAACCCCACTCCCACCACCTCCCCCAAAGCAATATAACCTCAAATTGTGTTTTAAATACATATTATCATACTGTAGATAAGTGCGGCTCTCACCCCTCATAAAGAAGAGTCTTTTTGTGGGGGACAGAGACCATTACAGAAAACCACAAACTGGTTAGTCTGCATATTTTTAAAAAAAAATGGCAGAAATATAGCCAATACAGTTGCAATAA